CTTTTGGGATTGTTAGCTAGATTAGGCTCAACTGTTTAAGTTGAGAAGAAAAGAAAAGAAAAAGAAAGACAAGAGCCATTCAGGTTCATGATTGACACTCATTGGATATAATCATCACCCTCCGCAGCACCGGCATGCCTCGATTGATGATGCAAAAGTATTGCAAAGATTGCCACACGCTAATTGTAATTAGATGCATATAAATACAATTATACATGGCCTTTAGAGTTTACTTAACCATAAGCATATATTCAGTTTCAAATCTCTCCCAAAATATAGGATTAGGCTTCATTTGGATGTAGGTAATTAAAAGAAAGGGTTTAGATTTCTCAACAATGCTAAATTGGTTACAACGAAAACTAGAAAACATTATATTTGAAATAACTGGATGTAAAACACTTGAATGGATTTGAAATGATTATATGCAAAGAGCCATATTTGGAATCAATTTGTTTTCTTCATTTCCTTCTTATTCAAATCTTGACATATATAGATTTTAGCGTTGTAATATTACAATTTAACCTTATAATATATCTAAATCCTTAACTTCGGCCTTCGTAATCATTCCTTCCAAATAAATATGTTTACGTATCAGTAATGAGTATGGAAGGAAATAGAATGATTTACATTCCTGACTTTCCCTGCGTTTACTTACAATCAGGAATGAAAAAATAAGTGGGCCTCACCTCAAAATCCGTAATCGCATTCCCTCAAAACTAGGTATCAGATCAACTAAGAGGAAGTAGTCGATACGATTCCCATTCATGTTTTCTCTTAATAACTTCCAAAAGTAACCTTACCACTTTACCATAATTCTAAAATTAATTTGGATTCTGATTCACGCAAATTAATAAACAATAACAATGAGAATCAATCTCATTCCTTTGCTAATTCCATATGTTTAGTAAACAGCTTAATGAGAATTATTCTTCCCATACCGATTCAGTAGTTCTCCGATTCCTAAATTCTCTGATTCCTTACTTTCTTCATTACTGATACGTAAACATGCCCTTAATGCCAAGTGGATCTTCGCAGTTTTTTTTTTGTTACTTATCAAATATAGAATACCATCTTTTTTTTAGCAGAAAAAAAACTTCATTGAAAGAAATCAAAGGGTACAACCATTTCATCCTCGACAGAAGATTTCAACCAGAGAGGAACTTTTTCATCCCAAATTACAACTGGGCAAGTCATTGCATGAACATCCAATTTGTGAGCAACAATATTACAACATCTAGGAATAAAAGAGACAGAAATCTATTCTCATATTGATTAAAACACCTCTTGACTTCTTCATGGAGGTTGCCATCTGATGCAAGATCCTCCTCATCTTTCTCCAATTGTGTAATGACAGCTTGAGCATCTGATTCCACAAAGATTGAAGAGATTAGTATACTATCTTGACCAATTAAAAAGTTGTTGATTCGATTATTAACTTATACAAAACACAATATTTGTGTGATTCACACAATGTGGGCTACTTCTATGAGATTTATTTCGTGTTTACTGATAATCAATGTGATTACAAATTATTACAATTAGCTTAAACAAGTGACATGCTGCCTAACTTGTCATTCTTCAGTGTCCAAAAAAAATAATGTCTCATGTAAGCAACATATGAGAGTTCCATTAACAAATGTAGAATAAAAAGATTCTACATTGGCCAGCATTATTTTAGTCGTATTTTTCTTCCACAATGTTGAAAGCATGACGGACTCATGAAGTGTCTAGCATGGGAGTATTATTATTATTTTCCTTATAGTTAGAATATAGATTTTAATGTTTTTTATTTATTGGTTTTATAATTAATATATAGGTTTAGAAGACTTATATTATATTTATATTTTTTGAATAAGTTAGCAATCAAGATATTATTTTCATGATATGATTTTAATTATTTTTCTTATTAGTTAAGTTTTATGAATATTATGGAATCTAGGGTTTCGTACGGTTTTAGGAATTTTTTAGTTTTCTATTTAAGCTAACTCATGACATTTTATTAATCGATTTATTCATATTATTAATCAAATTTAGAGATTTTCTCTATTTTCTGATGGATTCCAGTCATTGATGAATTTTAGTTTATTTTTTTGGATTTAGATGTTTGTCGATTCCGTGCTTCCGTGCTGCATCAGTTGATCACCTTTGCTCCCCTGTGTGTATTTGTCACTATCGGTAGTCATCACTTCCTCCACAATCTCATTCAAGTGACATCGATGGCTTAACCGTACCGTCCACTCGCACCCCACCACCTCCATCACAATAGCTGCCGTCAGAAACCGACGAAACAACCCGCTCACATTTAACCACAATGAAAGCCACACAAACGTTAAACATGTATTATGTTGTGTGGGCCAAAATGATTGGGACTTGTGGATGATGTGCCAAGAAGTAATGTTTGAAAAACAATTATCAATGACTGATTAAAACAATTATATAAACAGAATTTATAACAATCTGTAACACAGAATACAGTATATGAACAATAAATAAAACTGACTTGAATTTGAGATAGAGGCTTGCAGATTTGATGCAATGTCCTAAAGACAGTAATTTCACCCCTTCTCGGTGCTTGAAGTTCTACAGGTGACTGCCTCCCAGGATTCAACTATCTGTATTCTAAGCCCTAGCACTCGGACTTAGAATCTGGCGAACGTTGTTTGTTTTCCTCTCAGACAATATGAAATGCTTGTAGAATTCTTTTTCTGTATTGAACGTATGAGGCCTTATTTGATTTAAATAAACTTCTGAAACCTTATCAGAAGAGTCACAACTGTTAGAAAACAGTTAATAAAACTAATCCGAATTAATAAAAAATTATTAATTCGAAACCAAAAAATAATTTTAAATCTGAAAGTGCCCCAAGGCCCAAGGCCCATCTTTTTGACTATTAAATATTATATATTTTTATATAATATTCAAAGCCCAAATCGATTTTGAAGCCCAAATTGCTTCCACTTGGCCTACTTCCATTTACTAAGTGTGGCACTTCCACACTTATAAGGACCTCACTCTTTCTACTTTCTATCAATGTGGGACAAAGGTTCTTGAATTTAATTCAAACTTCCAACAAGTAATACTGGGATCTTTTGCTTGTGCATATTATGGTGTTTTAGAGTACTTATATATACATCTCTCTCGGGCCATGAGATGATACTGATAACGTCAGAGTGATTTTTTTTCTTTTATTTTTTCAAAAGTCAGAGTGATTATTCTAATAACTCATTCACATGATAATAAAATGCGAGATTATGTTGCACCTTCAATGTGGTACTATTTTTCCTCTATCCAATTTTTCCCGTTTTCAAATTTTTTTATAACAAAGTTTTAACAAAGTCACTAAATGGCACCTAGAGGTTCAAATTTCTAGGTTGTAACTTTAGAGCTAATTCGAATGAAGTTCTGCTTTGATTATTTAAAAAATAATAATAATAAGGTACGTAAATGCCATTAAAATGTTATAAATTAATCTCAAAAGTATCTCAAGACTCCGAGAAATTATATAATGATACTGTACTATCACGTTAGCTGATGGCACTTCCATTCAAAATATGTCATATGTCATTTTTTTTACAGCTGAATTTAATACTTTCTTTTTAACTTTAGAATAATAGTTTTTTTATTTTAAAAAAGAAAGAACCCAAAGAAGCCGCCAGAAACCACCTCCCACCACAATCCAATCCCCATCCTCGCACTTCTTCCACCCAATCCAATAGTCCATGGGACTTGACAGGTTTCTGTAGTGTGCTGGTTATTTCTTTTTGGGTTTGTTGGCAATCATTTGTACAGAAACCACAGAGGAAATAATCAGTTTTTGTTATTTCCAGTGATTTCTTTATGTGGTTCTTGTTTTAGATTAACCAGGTGGCCAACCAAAACCCTTGGGCGATTGGGTTGGGTGGTTGGTAGTGCAAGGTAGGAAGATTTGGGTTGTCGTGGGAGTTGGTTTCCGGCGTCTTTGGTTTTTTTGTTTTTTAAATATTATTCTAGAGGGCAAAAGTCCAGCTATAAAATAAAACATTATAAATTTGTTTAAAATGACACATGACATATTTTGAATGAAAGTACTACTAACTGACGTGGTAGTACAGTACCATTTTATACTTTCTCCAAGACACCATCCCATTAAAATACCAAACCCTAGTGATCAATCCACTTTTCATGAAACTAGACCACCTTAAAGTCCTATTTGACATACACTGCTTTGGGCTTTCAATGAAGTGAATCATAACCCCAAAAACAAAAACAAAAAAGGAAGAAAAAAAGAAAGAAACCACCTCGAAGTCTGAACCCAGTCAAAACACCTGAGATTTTTTATTTTTACATTTAATTTTTATTGTATACTTCTCCAAATGCTAAATCTCATCACATTTCACATCAGCACTTTGAAAATTATTGATCATAATAGAAATGATTAGTGTATGCGGCGCCAAGCCATCACACACAAACCACCCACCTATGCCTATAGCCTATGGCATTGGCAAGGGAAGGAAAGTTTTATAATCGTATTTCATAAAGAAAAGAAAAACAAGAAAACTGAGGCATGATATAAAGGGAGCATGCATATGCATTGCAGTGTTTCCAAAAGCAAAGCAAAGCACGGCCAGGCTAGCATGGAGAAGAGCGTGCAGCATGTGGAATCATATTTCTTAATTAATTATGTTTAATTACTGGATTTAAATGATTCACTTCATTACTTAAGCTTTCACGTGGGTAAAGAGGAGCATGGGCTTTGAATGTTTTAATATTTTTAAGATTCTCAGCTTAGCTTGTGGCACTGGCACTCCAACTTTAAGACAAATTATAAAGGGTTTCTTTCCATGAATTTGTACTCGATTTGCATTTTAATCACTCCAACGTGTTACGAACATACATTGATAGTCATTCAATTACAATCAACCAAGGCCTTCATGCAGGCCGATTATTTACAAATTGTCTCATAATTGTGCATTATTAATAAATGTCAAGACATCTACATGCAGTGCATACAAGGTCATAACTTGTAAAAACTGGGAACAATTTGTTTTGTCTGCATCAATTGTGTAGTTTGCTGCTGATCATATACAAAGGACTAATATTACAGTCGTACAAGGTCGCTACCTCTTTACAACAAGAAAATGATTTACATGAAAAGTTAACAAGTGAATTAGCTATATCCAATACAAGAAGATCACGTCAATCTGCATCCAGGTAGACATCAATCTGCAATATATAAACATTGTCACAATTAAGTAATGCCAGAATTAAAAATGGTTTACACAAGCTATGACGAATACTCATTCCCCATAAATACCAATGAGAAAATTAAGCCAATAATGAAATTATTCATCCATTTTTCATAAAAACAGAAAAGGGATGCATTGCTTAATTACTTTAGAACATCGGGAATGAATGTCAATAACTCGTTTAGGAGTTTTAGTCTTTCCACACCGGAATGATTCCTTGAGCTGCTAGACGCTTTTCAACCCAAAATACAATATGTTTTGCCGTTATTTTCTTCTCATCAATGAGAAAAGGCTCAACTGTACTCGCTCCTTGGCCATAGGAAGACAGAGAAAACCCTTTTGGACCTGCACATTTTGCCAAGCAACAAAGTAACTTTACCGGTTTTTCGTTCTTTCTAATTGTGCACTACACAACATTAATAAACTTTGCAAGACGTACCTGTGAGGACTCCACCGGGAAAGAAGGCCCAAAATGAATACCGAATGTCCTTTTTTAAAAAGAGACCTTCCAGCTATATTCATTTCGAATCAAACCAGAGTATCAATGTAGTGTACTTGTAATAACTGGCTTTTAGGTTACACATGATGCTAGTAAAGACAGAGAAGTAGATAGCTGACCTTGTCGTCTTGAAAAGATAGCTCAATGTCAGAGAGTTCATCTTGAGTTTCAAGTATTGCTTTCAGTTGCGGGATAACATCCTCCTCCATCATTTGAGGCAACGGCTTGACTGGAGCTTTCGCTGCAACTTTAGGCTTGGCTGGAGCTGCCTTTTGAGCTGTTTTTACCTCCTTTGTATCAGCAGCAACTAGTACGTAAAAGGGGCAAAAAGAGTTCACTTTTTACCAAAGCTGCCGTATAATGTGTCAGATAATCAGAAGGCAATGAATCCCTGCCATAAATTGTGAAAATAGAACAACTTACCAGTAGAAGTAGATGATTCTGGCAAAGCAGAGCACACAATATTTCTTTGAGATGTGACCAGTTTACTTACCGTGTGCTGCTAAAGCAGATGAAACACAGCATGAGAAAAAACAGTTTCTAATCTTTCATTCTATGGCAAGTGATTGGGAATTTACTAAATAATATCACCACATATTGAAAACTATGTTATGTTGTTGCCTCCTTTTGTTAGGGTTGTGGTAATAAAAACTATTTGGTCCCAAAGTTAAGGCTATAAACAACAAGGGTAAAGGCTGATGGAAGAATATGTGTTGCATAAAAGGATTCAGATTTAAATGTGGATTGGATGAGTCAATGGATGGTTGGATTTAGGAATTCGTATTTCTGTTTTGAGCAAGGGTCCAAAGCAAAAGCAACCAAAATTAGAACAATTTTGAAGAGGAGCTTTCAGAGGAGAAATTTGGTTCTTTCTTGTTGGCTATTCAAAAGTTCTTCAAGAATGTTTTGGAGAGGAGATAATGCACTTTTCATCTTGGATCCACATCCAACAAGTGCTACACGGTTAAAGAATTAAGCCAATTTACTTTTTTCTTTTCATGCTTCAAGGCTATTATCATATGTTATCATAAATGCACAAACTTCATAGACATACTGTAACTGTACAAAAAAATTCAAACACGCCAGCTAACTGTGCAAAACAGGACACACAACGCAAGATTGAGAAAAAATATGCATCAACAGAAGGAAATTTGAGGTGTCCTACTTACACCGGCATTGTCAAATTTAGGCTTGGATAAACAAAAAGTAGTTCTGTCATCAATGGCACTTAGTGTAGATGTCCTACCAGCACCAACTTCAAGCAGACGCCTTTCACCGACAAGAAAATGCCCGAAGATCAATGAAAGTTGTCATTTAAATTCAATGAATAATAAAGGAACATTCTACACAACAGTAACACCACACATTTATTAAACATGTTAAATAGGTAGTGAGCAGCGTACTATCAACACATGTTATGTTCAGGTTAAGTCCGTTGAACTGAAACACAGCCAGTTTACTAGTCGTGATAAACACTCAACACCATTTGGACATGAACATGACTATGATAGACACTAAGTTACAAGCCCGCTAACACTGTGTAGGTTTCGAATTACGTTATCACATTTCGTCAAAAACAGTCATCTCCAGTTTCTACTCTGCTATCTGTTAACAGGTATTAACAATTGTGTTATCCATACCTAATACTACCAAGGCAGTAACCTCTGTTCTTATTTCAGATTCTTTTTCATTTCGTTTTAGATTTGAAACTATTTTTCACTCGGTTAACCCCATATTTAATATTTTTTATATTTTAAAAATAATAATCAGTTACCCTTGTGTGAAATTTTATGAAGAAAAGGAAACTAAGGACATGAAATTAAAACTATCAATCTGATTTTCTCTCTATTCCCACAAAAACTCAACTCTTTAGATTTGAAACTACTCCCCAACCTATTCCTGGCTCTGAACCGTCATCTTTGACTAATCATTTTCCCATTCACACATAATTTGATTTTCAAAGGAGAACCCAAACTTCGCATATTCATAATCGTTTAGGAGCTTTTTTAAAAAAGTGCAGTGCAGGTGTGTGATCATTGCTACCAACTAACATCGCTTCAATTTTTTTTTTCTTTTCTGGGTTCGATTAGCCAGCCAGGGTCGAACAAAAGCATAATGTTCATTTCAAACAATCTAACATGTAAAGGCATTTGGTTGGCTGAACCTAACAAACTTGGCTTGGATTGCTGGCCCAACCCATATGAAATTCAAAATTAAAAACAAGAAAACTTCTTAAAAGTATCATACTTGTTCTAAGGAAGACAGAGTTAATAAGTTGAAATTAGAAAGAAGAAAATACCTGGTTGGAGAAAATAAGGAAGTATGTAAAGGGGTAAAAGGGGCAAGGCCACTACGATTTTGGATTTGGGGCACGCTTCCAGTTCCTACAACAGAGCTTATGGCCGCCATTGCTGCCTCTGCCTCTGCCTCTGTTAGGTTGGATTGGATTCTGTTGAGAGATAATCCGCCTGTGGAAAGTGGGAAGTGGAAAGGGTCGGTGATCTGTGTGGCGCGAGGTGCGAGTGATTAAATTTGGATAACCCTCCTAATCCTCAGCTTCTAGTCCAAGTGAACTGTCCAACGACGAAATCACCCGGGGAAACTAGGCCTGTAAAATGGGCCGGACCGGGCCAGCAAAGAGCGGTCGGCCTACATCCTACCCAATAACAGGATTTTTGGCCCTGAGAGTTGAATGGGCCGGACCGGGCCTATATGGCCTAACAAAGGGACAATTGTAATTTGATTTGTTGATGGAGCGCTTAGATGTTGACATGCATTATCTCCGGCGCTCATCTTTGTCTTGATGAGTCATGCGCCACGTGTATTTTATATGAGACCCAAGAGTTGAATGGGTTAACTTTGACTAGTCAAATCTTGAATTTCTTACCGCTGACAAAAATTCGTGATTTTTTTTTTCACTAAAATTTCAATGTCTACAGGTCCATATACAAAGTCCCCAGAAAGGAAAAATAAAAACGAAAGTGTATTACAAGATGCAAATTTCGACGGGGGTGGCACTGGCACTACATTCCTCGTACACCTTGCCGTCCTCTGCCATTGGGTTTTGCAGTTTTTGGCTTTTCCTTAATGGCATTTATCTTTTCTAGAGTTACGAGAACTTCCTCCATGGAGGGTCTGTTTTTGGGATCAGATTCTAGGCATTTTAGAATGAGCTCAGCTGCTTGGCAGGCAGCTTTTAATGGGTATTGATCTCCAAGCCCTGGATCCATTATTTTCTTTTGCTCCTTCTTCTTGTGAAGAGAAGGCCTTAACCAATCCACCAAACTACGCTCACCATGGGGTCGATTTGTGTCAACGGCTCTTAAGCCTGTTAGCATCTCCAATAATACCACACCAAAACCGTACACGTCGCTCTTTACGTACAAGTGACCTGACAATTTTTATGCAAGTGTTAGCTAAAATAATTAAATTTTTGTTGTTGTTAGGGAAGGATGCTTTATTATTAAACAAAAACCATAAGAGTATACAGCGGAGAAGATGACAACATCCGAAAACCAACGTGAAAAATTTAATAAAAAATAATAAGGGCAAATATTAGAGAAAATAACTACACCAAAGACATAATATTAAGCAATATAAGGGCAATAGGCATTCCATGCTGTTAAATTATAATCAGCCTCTGATAAATTAAAAATGATAATTAGGCTTTATTTGCAAGAGGGCGTGATGAGATTTGGTTATAACAAGAAGTTTGAATTTGGATGATTTGAATCAAAAAATTGTTGAAAATAAATAAGTTTAAGAGTAGATATAGGTATGAATTTGGATTAACATGTTAGGAACTTGAGTGAATTCAATGTTGTAATGGTGGACAGGACACCATATGCATGATGTTTTCGTATGATAGTTTCATGACCTGTTCGTACAACTAAAACTCATTTGAAAGTCAAGTCACGAAATTGAAGACTTTTACTTGGCCATAATAACTGCAGCAATAGAACAGAAGACTTGCTTAACCCATGAGATTAGGTGATCCCTTAAGTCTGAATATATTCGTGTGGAAAGCGTCTATTGTTGACCAAGACCAAGCCAACATAGAGTTTCCTTTTCCCATTGAATCAAGGAAATAGGTCTGGTAATAACGTGAAGTTTGCAAAATGAATGTCAATTGAGACCTCTCTCCACCTCTCTCCAATAGATTGAGTAAATCTTGGTCTGGTAATAAAAGTGACTGCCTTATTGCTAGTTAGGAAAATTTTGAAGTAAAACTTATACTAGCTTTTCATTTGAAAAAAACTTATAATTCAAATGGTTAAGAAAGTTTACGGAAAAAGTTGTGACATTACCAGTTGCGACATATTCCGGAGCTACATATCTATAAGAGCCTATGACGCTTGTGGTTACATGGGAGTTGCCATTTATTGGGCCTAGATTTCATAATTCCCAGCAAGAAAGAAAGAAAAAATAAATAAAAAATCAACCAAAACAAAAATAACAAAAATTAAATTAAATTAAAAAAGAAGAATGACAAAGAGAGGGTACCGAATCCAGCAAAATGTCGGAGGTCTTAAAGTCATGGTAGATGACTTTTTCTGAGGTGTGCAAAAAAGCAAGACCTCGTGCAGCTCCAATTGCTATCTTAAGTCTTAATTCCCATCGCAGTGGTTCTTCACCTTCTGAATAATTCATGCATCAACAGAAAAATGCAAAATTGTATTATTAATTAATACTAGCAATTTTTTTGACTTTCCAAATGAAAATGCAATAGAAGAAAAACTTGCATGCCCATGTGCAACGTGTGTTGAATTAAATTAATGTTATTATTTTCTTTTTCAGTAGAATAAATAGTTTAAACTAAAAGGGAGAGAGATTTATCACACACACAACACAATTATGATGTCGTGAGGATTCCTCTCACATATATATATATATATATATATATATATATATATTGTTTTATAAAAAAAAGGAAATTGATTTTCCCACTCCCCTTTTGTTCACTTACACTCCTTTTTATTTTTAAATATTTTTTTAATCACTTTTGTTTTCTTTTGTTCTTTCTCTTTCCTATTCTACCCTTATCTTACTTCACTCTTATATTATTATTTTTCCTTATATTTAATTTTCATACTTGCACTTCATTTTTAATATTTTTTCTCAATGGATAGATGAATTCTTTAAAATTAATATTTTACAAAACAAAACAAAAATATTTTCCCCAGCCCCACAACCCCCTCTCTTCGTCAACCCCCTCCTCTTCCCATCTCTGCACTCAGGCCCACCACCCCACTACCACCCACACCATCCACCACTGCACTGCCCCCTAGCCACAACAACATCAATGGCTCGCTCTCCCTCGACTCCTTTTCTCTACCCCTCTCTCTGCAAATTCAAAAACCAAAATTTTATTTTTTTATCACCAAAGCCAGCTTTCTCTTTTTCATCTCCAAAAGCAACATCAGTCAAAATCATATTTTATTCCCACCAAATTCTCAAAAGTCTCTGACTTGTTGTCCTTCCTTGTAACATTTCTGCTAAGTGATAACAGAGAAATTTCTAATGCTCGGGTCTGAAGCTTTTCGCTTCAAGTAAGGAGCTTTACACTTTGTGATTCAACTCAACCAATTAAAGCTTTCTCAACCCACCCCCATGCCACACCCCACACAGCCACCCACCCAACGTACCCAGCCATCGATGCCCCCACGTAGCCAGC